ATTCCTGCCCACATGCATGCATGCAGCTGCGCACATGCACATGGGTCCCCTGCATCCCGCTCCCCACAGCTCCAAGCAGCCCCTTGTGGGCTAGAATGCATCCCGCCTGCAAGGGGAAACCAGCCATTTCCCTGGCCCTGGGCCCCACTGGTTCATGCATTAATCTGCCTGTGACCAGCATGGGCAGCATGGAGACAGCTCCATATTTGATGCTGTTCCCCCAACACCAGCCACTCTCTCAGGGCAGGTCTACGCTGCTCTGAAAAGGGTTGGGGTGGAAGTGCTTCCCATGGGCCTTCCCCACAGGCATGGCCTCTTCGTGTTTTGCTGCTTGAACAGGGCTCTACTCTCAAAACTCTGCCTGTGTTTTCCAGGAATGAAGGGCCAGCATTGCCATTCCCAGCCAGGAGACCCAGTGTGTTTGTCCTGTAGCCTTGCTTGCTGGCCTGTTTGGTCATGGTTACAAGTCTAGTTTATTTAAATACCTGCTTCCTCTTTCATCTTCTTTCTAGCAGGTCCCTACTCTTGCTCTGGTATCACAGGTGAAAGGCAGCTCCATTCAAATATTAGTGCCACATCTTGCTCTCACATTCTTCATATAAAGTTTCTTGTGCTTCTTGACTAATTCATATCAAATGCAAAACGTGAAACAACTGTGCACTTCTGTAACCAGGGACTCTCATACGTTGTATCCCTTGAATCTGCAGTTTTTCCAAGACATTGCAGAATTCAGTACGTTTTGCTGTGAGATGTGCCAGTTTGCTGCAGTGTATATATTTTTTTTTCTTCTTTATTGTGGTAGTTTATAAGAACCTTAGTCCTTCCATTGTGGACCTTTATTTCACTAGGTATTGTACAAAAGATGGTCCCACCCCTATGGTGTTTTTTTCCTGTGATTTGTCTGTAGTTGTGCTGTCCAGCTTTTTCTGCTATGGGAGCTTAATTAGACATTTCCTGCAGCAGGTGCTTAGGAAGACACAGCAGGAGTGGATTGAGAGAGTGTGCTGTGCAGTGGCATAACTGCACTTCCTTTGGAAAGGAATGGACGAGCCACTGTCTAAGGAGCCCCTGGGGGCTTTTAAAAAAAGTCCTTGAAGTAAATTAGAGTCCCCCCCCCCCTCCCCCTGTTTTGTCCTGCATGCTCATAGGCATGTGCCCTCACCCTCCTCCCCAGCATACTGCTACTGCTTTTCTTGCTGTCTATGACCAGGAAAAGCTCCAAAGCCACTCAGAGCTGCATGCAGACTGGACTTAGCTGGGAATAGCCACAGTGGTGTTAGCAGTGATGTCAGGGCTGGGTTGTCCCACTCTGCTTGGTCCCTCCAGGAGTGGGAACTCCCAGCCCATTGCTACACTGCTGCTGCTCCCAGCTGAGCCCAGCTTCTGTAGCCTGGCTGGAGCAGTCAGGAGCAGCTTTGAAGCTTTTCCCTCCCCTAGGACAGAGGGGAAAGCAGCAGGCAGACAGGGGAGAGGGGAGAAGATGTGCCTTTGAGACTGGATGAGAGTCCAGCTTGTAGAAAGTGAACCAGAAATGCTGGCTAGCTGACTTGACTTGCCCTGTTTCAAGGGCAGCACAGCAATGGATACAGGGGAGGTAAGGAGGTGCTCAAGCAAGCTACAAGTTCCTTACTGGTGGCCATGGTAGACAGTACTGGGACTGAAGTCTGGAAAACCCTTAGGCTTGAAGAAGAGGAGAGTAGAGACAGGCTGCCTGGACCAGACAGTGGAATATTTTCCTTGGCAAATTTTAGATCCCTGAGTATCTCTGTGACCCACACATTAAAAAAAACAAACAAACAAAGAAAAAAGTTAAAGACTGTATTCAAGTACGTAGAGGTTGGCAATTTGTTTTAGCTACATTCTCTTGCCAACCTAATTTAGCTTCCTACCAAAATGTGCTTTGTTGTATAGTTTTTCTCTGACTTCCCAGTTGCACAAGTGTAAGCAAAGATTTCTTTTTAAGTACAGGAGTTGCTCAGGGTGATGAGGACAATTGATGACAGGATAGTCCATGAATTAAATACTACACTTCCAACAGCTTCCTTTGCAGGGAAAATCGATGCCAAGCAAACCTGTCAAGAGCTCTACAAATCTGTAAGTATATCTGCTCCTTTCTGTCCCAATCCCTGATGCTTTATTAAATATAGAGTCTAGTGAAGTAGAGCACCACATCCTTGTTTCTCAGAGAATTACTGGCCTGGCATGTAGCACGCTATGCATTCCTAAGTGGCCTACTTGATCTTCTATAGTCCCATGCATGTAACATTTACTTGACAGCAGATATACCATGCACATGTTTCTTTTGCTTTACAGTAATGTTCCTTCAGGATATAGTTCTGACCTCTGTGTGGCGATAGATAGTCCATTCATTGTCTCCATATAAATAGTGGTGCTGACATATTCCTGTGTTACTTTCTAAGTAGTCCGGTTCCTGTCAATATTTGATTCCCATCTGCTGTCACTTGTTAAATTCAGTTACTTGCTCCCTTGAGCATCAACGGGAATCAAACTATAATGGCAAATACCCAGATATCAAACCTTTTATATTGAGCACCTTCGACTCAGTGAACTAGCAGAGAGAGTTGTGGATAAGAATCAGGTACAAAGTACATAAACAACAAAGCAGGAGGGTTCATCAATGGGAAGCACCCCTAGGAGAGTTGTAACCTCAGAACTGGGTGTGGGTGGTTATGGTACAACCCTCCTGTCTGTTGCCCCACCTACTTCATTGTCAGAGACAATCTGTCTAAATGACTTGTACCCCAGGACAAAATTCAATGATTGTTGCTGGATGAGAGGGGAGAGTTTGCATGAGACATTTTCTATTTACAGAAAGCAAGAGAATACCATTTTAATAGCTTTATCTGTCTCTGCTGATATTGTGTTCTTATAGCACCTGCTTAGAAAGTTTCTTCATAGCATGTAGTATGAGGCTGACAGTGGTAAAGAAGCATGGTAAGGAAGCCAATATAGTTATATTACTGGAATTCATTTCCTTACCTGCTTTAGAATGGGAAGTAAGACCTGCCCCCAAAGGCAGTTGTCAGTTTGTAAGGAGCAGGATCTGCTTTTGGAAGAGGGAAGGGGTATTCTTCTTCCCTATGATGTGTGGAAGTGAGCTGTTCCACAGGCAGGACATGAGAAGCATTTGTGGGAAAACTGATACCATCAGAGCTATTTAGGCATCATCTTTTTTTATCTTGTTTTGTGATTTGAGGGTCTTTCTATTTCTTCTCTTGGGACATTTAACTTGTTGCTTTCATTCCCCCCCATACTCACCAACTAGCTGATGGAGGCTCATACCAGCAGGGAGATGATGATCAAAACTTGCATTGCTCAGACTTCCAATGTAGTAAAAGCTCTCCAAGAAGAGAGGGAGAAGGCTGAGAATGATATAGCATTGTTAAAGCAACTCAGAAAAGAGCAGACGAAGGTGAGTGGTAACATTTTAAGTCACAAAGGAAGTGTGGGTGGGTGGGTGGGTGGGTTGAGAGGGTGGTGGGGGGTTGTCTCTAGAAGATTGTTGGCCTGTATTGAAGTCTAGCTGAGATTAATTTGATCTAAAAAGTCTGAAGATTTGTGAATTTGTTTGGAGCAAGGATCAGCCTCTTCAGGCAACAAGACAGTACTGCCTACATTCTCTGAATGTCCTGCTTCAACCCCTGGTTGTGCTGATATACACAAAGATAAATGTGCACAGTACACCCACCTAATAATTACTTTAGTCAAAACCTACTAGCACCAGATAAGCTAAAAATGAAGGCCATTTCATATTCATATTTTTTATTCACTTTAAAATGCCTGCCAGTGTCTTACTTCTTTTCAGAACTTGAGAAAAGTAATGCATCCAAGAATTTGAAAATACACGCAATAAAACACAAACATTAGAAAACTAGGAAATTTCACTGTTTGAGTGCTGCCTTTTGTACCACACCTTGGTACAGCCTTAAATCAGCCCCCTTGTATCGTTGTCGTAATTCATTCCTTGGGTAGATGGGGCATCGCCACCCCATAACTCAATCTGTTAATTGGTACTTGTACTCAGTTTACCTGCAGTATTAGCCTATAATCATGTCCCTGGCAGTTTTGATTTGCAGTATTTTTGTGTATGAAATACAAATGCCAAGTAGAGAAATTTTTTCCAGACTTCACTAAGCAAGCTTGAGTCTGAATGAAATTGTCATAGCTCACAAATCTCCAGAAAAGAGGATTTGAATTTGTTTTTTCAGAACTCCAGGACCAGTTCCTGTTCTCCAAGCTATGGTTTGTGTGGGTTATGCAACCTATGTTGTTAAAAAAAAAAAAAAAAAAAAAAAAAAAAAAAAAAAAAAAAAAAAAAAAAAAAAAAAAAAAGATGACCACAAACTCCTGGAAGATTGATTCAGGCTCAACATTAGGAAAAACTTCTTCATAATCAGGGTGTCCAGACTGTGGAATAAGCTCCTCCAGAGGTGGTGCAATCGCCTGCCCTGGAAATCTTCAAGAGGAGACTAGACAGTCACCTTGCTGGGGTCACCTGACCCCCAGTTATCTTTTCTGCTTGGTGCAGGAGGCTGGACCCGATGATCTTCCGAGGTCCCCTCTGGCCTTACAATTTATGAATCTATGATCTCAGTAACTTAGAGCAAGTGTCTTTACCTCCAAGGCCTTACTAAAAAATCCTTTCTAGAGCCTACTAAACCAACCAGCAATAGTGTGATAACTGTTGAGTTTCAAAACTGGTTCCTAGTATCGCTGGACCGCCAAGCTAATGGATAGTCCAGTGGTACATTTTTGAGAGGTTCACAGTAATAGCATTTTCTAGTTTGGGGGATGGGGCAGCAGTTACAAAAACTATTCAAACCGGATCATGTTTTTACACATTTTTTAATCTTTGAAACCATGAGCCAAATGACTAAATATGTGTTGGACATAGATGTAGCTAATATTCAAGCCAATCTGGACTTTAGTTTTACCTCTATAGAGAGATTTTTTTATTTTTTTTCTTGCTCAGTGTATGACTTTACATTTAACCACACTGAAAATGTGTGCTGTTCGATTGCACTCAGCTACCAGGCAATCCATATCTTATTGTCCATGTCTTATTGTCTTCATTTTTCACCAGTTCTCCCAGTTTACATTATGTGCAGATGGTATCTGGAATCTGGAATTACTTTGTGGTTTTCAACCTATAGTCTGTGAGCCCCTTCAGGTCCACAGACTATGTCTAAGATAACTATGATATATCAAAAGTATGTGAATACCTAAACTTACAATTCAAACGGGTCTGCACCTTCATTCAAAATTTCCAAAGGGGGCCACACCTCCATTCACATTTTTTTTAGGGGGTTGCAAATGAAAAAAGATTGAAAATCACTGTTGTATGTAATTTAAAAAAAATAAATGACATAGGGCCAAGAACTGAACTTGTAATCTTATTTAAAAAAAAAGAGTTAGAAAAGATGTAGTTTCCATAAACCCATGGTGACTGTCATTACTCTTTGATATTTTATATTATATTGCAGCAGCAATGACAGGCCTCATCTCCCTACTTAACCCTGTGGTGTCTTTGGACAATATACTTTGTAGTTCTGCATCTTGGTTGATTGTGCATTTTTAGAAATAGGTTAGACAAATACTTGTATAAGATGATTTGGATAGGGATGACTCTGTCTTGAGCAAGGGGTTGGCCCACATGATGTCTGAAGGACCTTTCCAGCAATACTTCTGTTTCTACCTTCAATTCTCTCTCTCTCTCATATGCATCAAATCTTGTATTCACTTATTTTGCTTAGAATCAATGTCAGGTTGAAAGACCTAGCATTCCCCACATCATTCCATTTGTTTTAAGAGTTGGTGCAGCAGTACTTTCTTCCAGCTCTGTGCAACTTTAATGCTCCAGAGAGTTCCTTTCCCATCACCTGAATACCTTGCATCCAGAAGTTTTTATGCCTGAAAATATCTAACTTTAGTGTAGCTGCTATTTAACATACCCCCTTGCTGGGCAGCTTGTGTGTATATGTTTGGATTTGGGGGGTGGGAATCAGTGACCCTGCCTATGGAGGTTTTGTCTGTAGCTAGGGAGTGATAAAAGCTGAGCCTCAACAAGTTTTAGAATTAGGTTGGGGGCATGGGGGGCGGGGGGAATGACCCTAGATCTTCAGAATTTAAGATGCTTCATTTATGGGAGATTGAACACAAAACCAGAAAAACAAATTAGTTTGACCCAGATTTTCAATTATTTTTGTCATTACTAGTATAGAAAGCTGACATAGTAGGTTTAGGACTGGGTAAAATTTGGAAATTGAACACAAGTACTTTTGCATCTTTAAACTTTCTGCTTCTTTGGAGAATGCCTGCATGGCCCTAATATAGACTTTGTAAGGCAGGCTTAAGTCCTTCAGAAAGAGTGAGTTGGCCATGTAGGCTCCAGGAAGACTGCAGTATGTGCACTCTTGGAAATCTGGATGGAGTATATTTCCTGAACTACAGGTACATGACTCTGGAAGGGTTAGGGAAGCAGGATCCTTTTGTGTGCTGTGAGGTTCTGCTGCCTCCCTCCATCTACTTTTGGCAGTAGTAAGATCCTGTTTCTGATGTTTCAAAATTCTGCCTTTTAAGGGAAGCTTTTCCTAATCCTCTGTCAGTTAATGGTGTGGGTCATATCTGCCTTAATGTAACTTCAGATAACCTCATTATTCATACGAATATTTCTTGAAGTCTTCTAAACCCTTAAACTCTTTCAACAGTGAGTTCTGTAATGTCTCATGGCAACAAAGTCCACATGGTGGTTAGCAGAACTGTGCATTAGTGCAGGGGTGGCCAGCTTGTGGCAGGAGTGCTACGAGTAGCACAGACAAGATCTTTTGGGTGAATCTGATATCTTTTATTAGACCAACTTAAATAGTTGGAAAAATTTTTTAGCAAGCTTTCGGGTTTAAAAACCCTTTGTCAGGCTAAGGAGGTCTCTGCAGTTGGTGTGTGCTCTTCCTGGATGGAATGAAAAGCAAAGAAGCCAGAGGCTGGGCTTGTATGCATACAAGACAGATGGTTAGTGAAGATGTAAATTGAGGAGCCAGTGGGTGAGAAACAGGCTGGGTTGGGGGTGGGGGTGAGGATGAATGTAGGAGTTAAATAGTGGAGAGGTACCTGGGGAGTCGGATGTCAGGCAGGTTATAATGCATCATAAATCTAGTGTCTATATTTAGTCCATGATTTTTTGTATCCAGGAGGTTGATGAAGTGAAGTTCATAGGCTCGTCTCTGAGAAATGTTTTGTAAGTTTCCTTTGAGGATTAGAACTGAGAGATTGGAGAGTCTGATTACTTTATCTTCTGCTTCTTCCAATTTTGGATTTATTGAACTTAGCACTGAAATCACAGGTCTTCTTATCAATCCATCATGATCTGCTCACTGAAATCAAAGGGAAGTTTTCTGTCTACATCTAAAGTCACTGAGCCTATCGGCATACATGTTCTCTTACTAAAGTAACTTGAACAGCAGTATTCTCTGAAAGTACCATAAATCTTTCTCAGGTAGGACATCTTTAGGAAATGGTTAATATTTTCTGTTTGGATATTTTGTAAAGGGTATGATCTTTATCAACCTGTCAGGTTCTTAAAGATGGATTATAATTTAAAACAGTCTGGAGTCTTTAAGTAATGTCACTTAGCAGTCATGTCAGCATTTCAAAAATATCCATTTCTGTTTATCCAGACTTTGAGGTTTTTGAAGGGATTACTTTGTCTGTTTTTGCCATTTGTGGAACAAACAGTTTAACCTAAGAGCTTAAAGTAGTCACTGATCCTTTAGCACAAAGGTCATATTCTTTCTTTTTAAAGGTGCTGGCTAAGATTTGCTTTTAAGAAACGAGGGCCTTAGAGAGGGATTTTATAAGGTACAAATGGCAGTTCAGTGCTAAATTTCTCTATGATTGACTTGCAAACTGTATTTTTAATTTTACCCCAGTTTGTATATGCATTGTGACACAATTTTAAAAATGTTTTGATTGCACATTACCAGTTCTGTAGGACTCCCAGTGTGCTGCACGAAAGACATAGTTTTTTCCAATTAAAACACTGGAATGGAACCTAGGATAGCTTTTAGTCTTGGCTTTGTTACAGACTTCCTGTGTGACTTTAATAGTGCATATGGGCAAGGGACCAAAACTAAGGTTGCACAGCTAACCTTTATTTTGTAATAAATAATTTAAGTGCTTGACACTTCAGCCTTAACTTGTTTCTTGGACCCACCTGCTATAGGGGCCTGTTTATTGCTTATTAATTTGCACAAATAGTACTCATTGGAGAAAGATGTTGCTTCTCATTAACTATTTCTACCAGGCAGTTGCCTTCATGGATCTATATTCTTAACTCTCTTTATTGCAGGCATACCTGACTGGGGTGCTGGAATGGCGGCAGGAGAGCAAGGGCCTTCAAACTTGTGGAGCGCAGCAGAGGCAGAATGCAATTGCAAGAGAGGTGTCGCTGTCAAAAGCTAGGTTAACCTCCCTTGGCCCTGCAACTGCTTCAGTTTTGTATTGAGTGAGAATCCAAAGCCCTGAATTTGGTGGCAACTGCAGGGGTAGGGGGGGATTAACCTGGCTTTTGACAGTGACACCTAACACCACCTCCTGCATCAATGTCCTTCTTCCTCACATATATTCCTTCTACTCTATGTTGTGAAGGCTTAAGACCCTCTGTTCCATTCTGGCACCTCCCTTTACTGAAAGCCTGGGACTTGTGTGCCACTCACAACTGCCTGTGCCATTTGTGGCATGTGTGTCACAGGTTGGCCACCTCTGTCTTATTAGTACAGGGGCGGGCAATTATTGTGGGCAGAGGGCCACTTACTGAGTTTTGGCAAGCCATTGAGGGCTGCATGATAGGCAGTCAGGGGCAGATAAATACTAATTTTCTAAATTTTTTAGGGGCCCCGCGGGTCGGATAGAATGGCCTGGTGGGCCACATTTTGCCCACCCCTGTATTAGTATCTTCAGTCTTTGATAGATCCTTGACTGAGTGGCGGGAACTGTAAAACTCATTTACTGTAGGCTTGAGCCTGTATGATGAAGGAGGATGCTTGCCTATGCTTGATGGGCACATTGAGCGAGGAAGTTTTCATGGCATATGAATAGATTGGAGGACTGGTCATTCTGGTTATTGTATTGTATGACTAATGAGTGTGTTTTGTCTTCTTTCTCATTTTTTGCAGTTGAAATTGATGCAATCAGAGTTGAATGTTGAAGAAGTGGTGAATGACAGAAGCTGGAAGGTACTAGGCAATTATTATAGTAAACATAAGTCATACTTATGACTTCTATGTATATGTTCAGAATGATGTGTGACCATGATGCATGAAAGGGTAATGAGGCAGGTGTCTAGTGGGGTGGATGAACTGGCAGGCAGGTAGTTCTGTGGATTCATCACTAAAGTCATGGCTCTGCCTCCTTTTGTGGCCTTCCCTGACAGAATTGGGAAGGTAACATCCTTCCTTTCTCCCCCTTCTTCCCCACATCCTCAAAGGTGTGTGTGTGTTTGGGAGGGGGCGCAGGGGAAAGTACATTACCATTCCAGTTACCAGGAATCTCATCTTCATCATCAGGGATCCTGGTTTTCCCTGATAAAAAATTGCAAATTCTCTGATTTAAAAAAACCCAAATCCGTGATTAAAATGAAAAGTCCTCTCAGTGTGTACACACCCCCACCTCCCCCGATTTCTGTTCTGTGCTGGTATAGGTTACTGGTCTCATCGGTGCTTGAGTCAACTTAGTGGCCAGCTAAGTTGATCACGAGTGGGAGCCGGGCTTTTATTGGTCCGTCTTGTCAGGTGAACCGATGCTCCATGATGTTATGCAGAAGAAGACCCAAAATTGACATGTCTAGTCCCACTTTTTATAGTCCTATCAGTTCATTCAGTCCTCTGGGCTTTTGCTGTGTTACCACTGTGTTTCTCTTTGAAGGTGGATTGATGTTGTTCTCTCGCTGTTCTGGGGCAAATCTTCTTGTTTTGGTCTCTTATCTGTCTGCATTCTTCAGCCAGTCACCAACTGGTGTTTTCCTTTTCCACAGCCACACTCTCACCCATTTCCTCACACATGCAGCGTACAAAGGAGTGAAAGGTTGAACACTTATGTCAAGCTACAGAGCAATACAAAATGGAGTTTCTTAAGGCAATGCAAAACTCAAGAACACCCCCCCACCCCCCCATCAAGATAATACACAAGATTAAGGCAATAGGCAAAAGTCTATCTCCATGTTATTTACCTAACTTAAAGCTGGTATTTATGCCATTTCCATAACAACAGGCAACAGCAGGGCCACACAGCTGCTTGCCACTGTCAGATCCACCCTTCCCTGGCGATGCATCCCATGTGCATGTGGCAGCAGTGAGAGGCACAACTCTGTGCTGCCGCCCCTGCTGCTGTTGCGCAGGTAGGGGACGCATTGCCTGGGCAGTGCAGTGCTTGCAGCTGCAAGCAGATCCCTATGAGGCCTCGCTGTTGCCTGCAACGCTGGGTTGCACCCACAGGGCTGTGGAGGCCTTGGGGGAGGGCAGTAGGGCAGGAGTCCGAGCTTGCAGCAGTCAGTCCGCCCCATCCCTGCCGCGTGCATAGAACTGGGGGGCATGGGTCACCCCTGGGAGTTCACACAGCAATGAGGAGCTGGCCCCACCTCCACACCTCCCAGGTGAGCCACCCATGGCCCCATCCAGCTCCCTGCTGGGGCCCTGCAGCCGTGCATTGCAGCCCCAGGCCCTAAGCCCTACACATTGCCTGGCTGGCCAGCAGGCTGAGTTCCAGCACTGCCCAACTCCCTCCCTCCTGATGTGGGGCCTCAATTCCCCATTGCCCCAGCTCTCCCTACTTACCTACAGGAGCTGCTTTCCAGGCTGCCTGGCAGCCATGTGCATATACATGCACGTGATGCCCCCTGCCTAAGTGCCCTTCTTCTGCTTCCCCCAACCCCTTGTACGCTGAAACTCTGCTAGCTGGCACAGAGCTCTTTGCAAAACTGCAAAATCAGTGGGTTTCTTCCCTAAAATGAGAAATCTGCGTTTTCATCTGGTTAAAGGGGAAATCTGTGTTTTACTCTATTTTTCCATGGGAACTAGAAAACCCGGATCCCTGTTCATCATGAGGAACTATAAGGAAATAGGGAACTAGCATCTGAGAGTGCTCATGTTTGATTGAACAACACTAAGATGTTTTCTTTAATATCAGTTTTTGTTTCTCATAAGGAGGGAGAGACTTTAGCAGTAAAGCAAGTTTTATTTCTTGTTTTGTCACCAGTTTAGTGTGCAGTTTTGGACTTCTAACTTCAAACCTACTCTATTTGCCAATGGGTTAAAAGCATTGTTGCTGATATTTGTCTAACAATACTGAAATCTATGTGCAGTAGAGCAGGGGGCATCAAACATATGGCTTGCAGGCAAAATCAGGGCCATGGAGCCATATCATCCAGCCCCCAGTGCTGCCTGTGGATATCAGAGTGACCCACAAGCAGCATGCAGGGTATGCCAGATTGCCTCGTGCACTTTGCGGGGCACCCATTCCAGCTCACATCCTAGAGCAGTAGAAGAACGGCTGCTGTTAGCAGCACAGCGTCAGAGTATCTGCATGCCAGTCTTGGGCTGTGCTGCATGGCCCCATGGTGGCTGAAGCAGGCAGGACCATACTGCTTGCAGTACCCACTCCAGCTCAGGGTGGATTGATTTAAATTAGGTCAATTTAAATCATAATTTACATCACGAAGCCAAGAGCCCAGTTTAAATAATTGATTTTTTTCAACTCTCCCACTGTTTATTTTTGTTTGTTTTTTAACGAAAGGTGAATTTTCATTGGTTAAAACAAGTTGATTTACAACTAAATAGAGTTTTTGCAGTAGATTTGGTGTATATGTTTCCACTGCTCCTTACTCTTCTCCCTTTCCCTTTTCCACACAAGAAATTAACAACAGGGTGGTGAATCACTGGAATGATTACCTAGAGAGGTGGTGAAACCTTCATTCTTGGAGGTTTTTAAGGCCTGGCTTGACAAAGCCCTGACTGAAATGATCTAGTTAGGATGGTCTTGCTTTGAGCAGGGGTTTAGAGTAGATGACCTCCTAAGATCCCTTCCAACCCTAATTTTCTATAATTCTATAACAAACCAAACTCCTTCTCTCTGGGTGCATCTACATGTATGTATTAATGTGCAGCAATAAACTCTGGCACATATGCCAGAGCCAATTGCTCCTGGGCACTGTGTTTACCCATGTACATGGGACTCTAGCATGTTGAGCCAGGTTGGTGCAGTAGTGGCTGGCAGGTAGCCCGGGTGGGTTAGCTTGCCAGCCCATGGCTGTTCCAACCCAGCTTAATGTGCTGTGGAGGGGCTGGTTGGGGCACAAGGATGCTCCAGTGTGGGGTTAAGTGGAAGGCAGCCTCTGCACTGAAGCACAGTTGTGAATCAGTCACCTGGGCAGTGTCTAAACATGCACTGCTGCACGCAAAAAAGGTCCGCAGCAGGACAGTACTTGTATTTACAAGTACCGACCTTCTGTGGAGTTCATTAGTTTTCTGTAGCCTAATAGGGCCACACATGTAGATGCTGAGATGTTTACTGCAGAGCTAATTAGTCAGCTCTGCAGTAAACCTCCTGTGACAGCCTACTGAACCATTCACTCCCCTCCCCCAAAAACTCTACCTCTTTACCAGTCCATGATTTTTGCTGTTGTAACCCCCTAGGCTTGTGTGCTGTGGTATTTTAGTTTAGAGACATGCATAGAGCACTTGAAGTTAGTATTTACAACTCTGTACATATGCAGAGGAACCAAGAAAGGCCATTTAACTGAAGTACCCAGAAGTATTCAGTAGCAAGGGTTGGCAGTTACTGAGCAGACGCTTGTTTTTTCATGAGCCGGAGAATAAGCCGCCATTAAGCATGCAGAGTCCTGTGTATTCATAATTTCAGAGCTGAGATGATCACAGCTCAGATAGAGCCAATGAAACAGAAGTTTTGATGCCATCCAGGTGGGCTCTGTGGATTATCTTGATCAAGGAGGACACATGATGGTGTCTGCTGGAGTCAAAGGCCAGGTCCCAAAATTTGTGATGACTTTGCTGCTCCTTTGCATACAATAGTTTAGACCCTGCAACCCTTGGAGGGTCAGGCCCGTAATACATGAAACATGCCATATTTTTAAAGCTTGACCTCAGAAGTTATATGTTTTCCCATCATTCTTATATAGAAGAAAATCAGCCTTTAACTCAAGAGATTTTAGTGTAGAGGCTCATGGACTCAATGTGTTATTTTATTTGAATTACTTTAATAGATTGTACTACATTTATACCTTACCTTATGCTATATTAAATTCACATTTCATTAAGCTGGTTTATTTTTAAAGAGGAAAACTTACAAAAAATCCAATTTAAATGTAAGAAAAATCCATGTTTTTTAAAGGATGATTAAAAAAAAACAAACCCCAACCCTGCTCCAGATCCAGAATGCAGGGTAGTCTGACCTGCAAACTGTCTCTGTGCCACTCATCCTGCAGTAGCGGGTTAGCCTAGTTATGCTAGGGGCTGTACCAAGGTGATGGATTCTTCCACATGTTAGGTCGCATCCGTTTATCATTTTGCAGTTAATATTCCTGTTTTGAAAGCTTTTCCTTTTTCTCCCCTGTTGCTGGGCAAAAGAAAAATGAGAAATTCTCTCTATTTTTGGTTATAGGACAAAACCAGAAACTGACTCTGTTAAATGCTAACAGGGCAGAATCAGACTAACCAG